TTTACATGTGGAGGTACTGTCATATCATGACGCTCCACAAAGCAGTCAATTGTTGCTACTTCTTCAAATCATGCTGAGATAATAGCTATTCATGAAGCAAGTAGGGAATCCATATGGTTGAGATCAGTGATTCATTTTATTCAAGAAAAATGTGGTTTAGAGTGTGATAAAAGATCCACAATTTTATACAAAGACAATGCTGCATGCATAGCCCAATTGAAGGGGGGATTTATAAAAGGAGATAGAACGAAGTACATTTCACCAAAATTATTCTACACACACGATCTTCAAAAAAATGGTGACATTGATGTGCAGCAAATCCGTTCAAGTGACAATCCGGCAGATTTATTCACTAAATCTTTGCCAACTTCAACTTTTGAGAAGATGGTATACAAGATTGGAATGCAGAGACTCAAATATTTGAAATAAAGTTTTCATCAGGGGGAGTAAAATACGCGATGTACTCTTTTTTCCTTACTAAGGTTTTTTCCCACATGGTTTTCCTTATAAGGTTTTTAATGAGGCAGCTAGAAATGCGTATTACTAAATATGTGTACTCTTTTTTCCTTCACTAGGATTTTTCCCACTGGGTTTTCCCTAGTAAGGTTTTAACGAGGCGCAATACCTTTTAATGAACATCTAAGGGAGAGTGTTATGAAAATAATTATATTGTGGATGTTCATTTATTACTCCGCTATAGATAATCTTTCTGAAGAAGATTATCCATTTAGTACTCTATTGAAGTTTATCTACAAGCAGTTGATGCAAGCAGGTTGCAAGCAGCTCAATGAAATGATTTGCAGCAACTTCTTATTAAACAGGCAGGTTGCAAGCAGCTCATGCAGACAGCTTACAAGCAGCTAAAGAAAAGCCTTACAACTGCTTCCAGAAAAGCCTCGCAACTGCTTTCTTTCTTCTATAAATAAAGTAGTTTTCAGTTCATTATGTACATAACTTTGAAGTTTGAATAATATATTAGTTTTTCTCTATACTTGTCTTTACTTTACAGTTTTTATTTTATAAAAGACTATCTTTTTGATTTTCTTACATTTTGCCCATGAGCTTCCTCTTTGTTACACACGTGCGGTGTATTCAAGATTGCTCATTTCTTTTTAAAACAAATTACATTTAAAGATCTTTTCTTTGGAGTGCTTGACTTAAAATTGGGAAATTTAAATTTTTCTAAATTTTAATTCTTTTCTTTTTCAAACTAACAAAACCCCAACCAAAAATCAAATCTTTCTAAACCCAACTCATCCACCTTAAAGGGGTTTGCAAGAACCTGAAAATCTGATAGGAAATATGGCAACTTTTTTCACTTCACTCGGACCCAATTCTGTACTGTCTCCATTTACAGAACGTACAAGAACCCTATATCCAGTTTTTTACCGAACCCACTTTGGAAATCTTCCAACTTACAAACCCTTTTCACGGGGCGTGCTCGGAGTAGCTCGATTCGGGTTGGGTCAGGATCCGTTTCCTGGCCCGGAAACTGCAGAGATGCTTTTCAAAGACCTGTTTGCTCGGGCTGAAGGGTTTTTGTATACAGTTGCTGATGCTGCTGTTTCTGGTTCTGCTGATACGGTTGTTAACACTGTTGAAAGTAGTAAACAGAATGGTGATTGGCTTTCTGGTATTACCAATGGAATGGAGTCTGTCCTGAAGGTTTGTTGAATGTTAAAGTTTCGTTTTTTACAATGTTATGATGCTCCTTTCATTCTTCAATTCTTTTTGCTTCGTTTTGTGTTCTAATTTTTATAGGTTTTAGAAATTTTAGTTGGCTAATTGATTCTTGGAATTGTACTTTTTCAAGGAGAATGGAGACAAAGTTGCTATAATTGGAAGTTGAATTATGGGGTTCTTTGATTAGCCGTTTTGGTGAAACTAGTGTATAGACTATGCTAAACAGTTGGAATTAAGGCTTAGCTGTTGTTTCCACACTTGCACTGTTTTTGTAGGAGTCCTCTTAGGGATTATGTAAAGTTTTGAGAAACTCTAATAGTATTGGAATGAAGCGGACTCAAGTAGAGCTGAACAATTACAAAAGATTCATATATCCTACTCCCACTATATTGGGATTGATGTGTTATTGGTTGATTGATTGAGAATTTTGTATTGCTAGTTGGGTATTTGGTTGCAAAATTTTACGGAAGAATATAATCGTTATTCAAAACATAATTTTGAGCAGTTAAGAATTGTGTATATGGCTATATTGCTATTCATCATTAAAGAGTAAGATTGTTAAAGTTGGTTCCTTTATTTGGTATCTGGAACTTATCTGGTCTATTAGTTGCTTCATTTGGTGGTATCATTGGAATGAGAGGACAATTTAAGCAAGATTGTTTCATGCCTCTATCAAATGGAAAGAGAAATATTTTGCAGCCTAAATGTCACATTCTTCTACTTAGTGTTGGAAAGATAGCATAAATATATCCCAGTGTTATCAAAGGCGCGCTTAAGCCATGAAGCGAGGCTCAAAACTTATTGAACGCTTCACCTCGCTTAGCGGGCGCTTCAGCGTTGTCATCAAAGCTCTAAGGCATACTTTTCCTAGCCAATGAGCGTAACCCTGAAGAGACCACACTAAACAATTGATATTTCATTTTATTGTAAATGTTTTTCAATTTCTTAGTATATATATTTGGTATTCATGCTTATAGATATTAGTTTTGGACTACACATACATATTTGTAATTTTTCTCCATTTTTGCCTAAAGCCCACGCTTTATTTGCGCTTTGAGCTTAAAGCCCCAACATACCTTAGAGTTTTTTTGCGCTTTTCGCCTTTGATAACACTGTTATATCCAACTGTAATGTATGGATTGATTCAAAGCTTAATTCTATCACTTGGTTCTATCTCTCACTCATATGTTAAGACACACCAAAGAAAAAGATAAGAGAGAAAACAATTAAGAAAGTGGTTGTGACATGTCCAGGTTTTGAAGGATGGACTCTCAACTTTACATGTGCCGTATTCTTATGGTTTTGCAATCATTCTACTAACAATACTAGTAAAAGCTGCAACTTTTCCTCTAACAAAAAAACAGGTCAGTGGTCTACTTTCATGTCTTCTCTTTACAGTATTTCTGTTTTCCATATTTCTGTGTAAAGTATTTAGGAAGTAAATTGAGCTGTACAAATTACAAAAAACATTCTTGCTTATGAAGGCTTAGATGGTTTACTATCTTTAAGAATCAATTTTAGGTAGAATCAGCAATGGCAATGCGATCTATGGCACCTCAAATAAAGGCTATTCAGGAGCGATATGCTGGAGACCAGGTTAATTATATCCAAGCTTCACACATTTTTCACCTCTAGTCAGTGGAATATTACTGGAGGATGTACATGCTTAAATGAATAGCTGCCCTTCATTTACCCTGTGGCATTTTCTTGCATTTGTCCAGTGTAGAAACTTTGCTTTAACTATTTTAACTTCTTATATACATGTTTTTCCAGGAGAGGATTCAACTTGAAACTGCTCGTCTTTATAAATTAGCTGGCATAAATCCACTGGCAGGTCTTTTTCAATCCCAAAGCTTCTTATGGTTGACAATTTTGGTTGTACATCCTTACACACCATACATGTGGGTTGTGGCAATATTAATTTTTTGGTCTGATAATTTAAATATCGTCCGAGTTCAGTAATTGTTGATATTTGTTAATCATTTCTATCATCTACCCGCAGGATGTCTGCCGACCCTTGCCACTATACCTATATGGATTGGGCTTTACAGAGCCCTCTCTAACGTGGCAAATGAGGTAAAACTGCTATTTTTCTACTTGTTCACCCCTTCTCTCGAGAGGCTTTTTACTTGAATAATGCTTGCTAAAAAAGGGAGACAGTTTTGATTCTAATGAGAAAGCAAAATAAAAAACAATTGATAAGTGGAAAGCAAACTACTGCTGCTGGCAATTTCACCCTTTTGTATACTTTAGCAAATGCTTTAGGTTTCTATAGTTTCACTCAAGCATCTCTAATACTTAAATTTTTCTTTTTCTTAATTACATTAAGGGGCTTCTGACAGAAGGCTTCTTCTGGATACCCTCACTAGCTGGTCCAACAACAATTGCCTCTCGACAAACTGGAAGTGGCACCTCTTGGCTTTTCCCTTTTGTAGTGAGTCATATGCTGCTGTCCAGCCTTGCCTCATTTCTCTTTCTTTTCTTTTTTTGGGGTTTGGATTTTAGCTTGAAAACTTCATGGACATTTTATTGATGTAGCATTGCATATTTTGTTTAGTTCACTTGTCTTTTCTCTTTCATTCTCTTTTTTTGGGTTATGGTGTCTGCAATGTAAGGATGTGTTGGTTATGCTTTATGGCTCTTCTATGCTTCATTGTTTTTAGATGCATATAGAATATGATCCTTTGGGGTGCGACCCAACACATCAGATTTTGTTGCTTCTACTAGCTATAAAGATGGCAGGTCTTATTTGAGTAATTCAGCAAGTGAGGCTGTCTCGGGTTAAAGAAGCATACTTCATTAGAAGGATAAAGTTTGTATTAATAAAATAATCTAGAATGACCAAATCTTGCAATTCAGTTTATTGTTTGATGCATATTGCAATATTTCTTTAGTTGCTTCACCTTGAAGAATGCGTTAGGACTGATTCTTATCCTTGGATTTTACAGGATGGTCATCCTCCACTTGGTTGGTCCGATACTTTTGCATATCTTGTCTTGCCTGTACTGTTGGTTGTCTCTCAGTACATCTCTATTCAAATTATGCAACCATCTCAACAGGTTGGTCAATGAAAGCTTTTCTAGTCTCCTCTAATGCAGGACAAAAGAGATAGCCCCTCTCCTTCTGCATTTATGATGATTTCCTTCAACTCTATTGCTTTTTTTTTTTTTTGATAACCGTGGTGTCCGGGCCAGCTTGCGCTCACTTCGACTATTTCCACGGGGTACCTGCCACCTCCCACCAGCAACAGGTACCAGGTAACACTATCCACCGAGGCTTAGATGGATGGGGAGAAAACACCTAGTATTTGTCTCCGTTGGGATTTGAACCTGAGACCTCATGGTTCTCACCCACTTCATTGACCACTAGGCCACACTCTTGGGTGCTTGACTCTATTGCTTTCTTCTCTTGTTGTTTAATCTCATTTTGTTTTGTTATTTTGGGGTTACCTATACCGTACATGGTAAATGTGCCATCTTTTGTACCCTATGTTCACATTTGTATTTCAATTCCAGTTGTTAGATACATGGTTCATTTACTCTTGTACCTTGTGTCAACAATTGCATTCAATTCCATTTGTTAGACCGTAAATGACTATGCTCGTAAATTAAGTCAGGTTCCTGTTTATCCAACCTCTGAATTTTTGTTGTAATACCATTGCACCTTCTTAGAGTTGGCTGGTTCATGAATGGCTTCTACATTAAAGTCCTGATACTTCAAAATTGTGGTTATGTATTATGAAAAATATTCACTTGCTACCTTTCCAAGTGTTGGGCATGCTGTTGGTTCCTGAAGTTATGAATATTTTATGAAGAAAAAACTGATGGTGTTTGACCTTTGTATTGTAATGTAACCTTGACTCGAGATGGTGTTCTCTGCTACTCTTTATGCTTCATATCTCTAATTTCACCCCCTCTAACTTGAGAACTGAATTTGGTTGTTATTGCAAAGTGAATTGCCTGGTTAGCTTATTCATTCTGACTCTCAATTCTTTAATTCTGTTGGCCAGTAAAGTTAGTAGTTGATTAGACTCTCACTAAGATGTCAATTTATAGCACTTATCTTCTAAACCATTTTCATTTTATTTTTGTTCTCTTTTCCTGTTTAGTTTCTAATCCCTTTTTAATTAATTTCCAGAGTGATGATCCAAATGTGAAGAACTCTCAAGCAATAACTAAGTTTCTCCCTCTAATGCTTGGTTACTTTTCACTGTCAGTTCCTTCTGGTCTGAGCCTATATTGGTAAGCACTTCTTTATTACTCTGTTTGGAAACAGCGGTGTATTCCTCTAAGTTTCATTTTCTTTTATCCTTTTATACTTAATTATCCAATTTATTGACCACTATTATTCTCCCACACTCAATAATCTCTCAGAATTGTTTTACCATCTTATGCAGGTTCACAAACAACATACTTAGCACCGCTCAACAAGTATGGCTTCAGAAGTTTGGGGGTGCAAAAACTCCAGCGCTGAAATTAAGTGATGATACTTCTAGGAAAGAGCAACTTGGGGGTGCAAAAATTCCAACCCTGAAATTAAGTGATAAAACTTCTAGGGAAGAACAACCTCAAATTCAGAAACAAGTCTCTGAAGCAACAATAACTAAAAAGAAAGACGAGAATCCTACATCAGATAGGCCCCGCCAGGGTGACAGGTTAGAAAGACTTGTTGACCTTGTTTGGAGGTGAGAAGTTGGTGGTTAGGACTTGATTGTTAATTATTTTTTGCAGGTTTAAACAGTTAAAGGAACAAGAAGCAAGAAAACGGCAACAGAGGGAGGAGGAGAAGAGGAAAGCTGAAATAGCAGCCAATAAGAAAGAAGATAAGCCAGTTGAGATAGAAAATAGTATCAGAACTGACTCTGTTATTGGTGATTCTATCTCTAAGAGTCTCAATGCTTCCACTTCTGAATATTATCGTGTCGTAAATGGTGATAGTGCTTCCTCTGAAGTGAAGGAAGATGAAAGAAAACAGATTGGTGAAATTTCAGATGATCACAACCGTGGAGTCAAAAATTGAAAGCAATATACTTGTATGCAAGTGAATGTATGATTATGATATTGTTAATTGGCCTAGTTCTAATTATAGATTTCCATTCCCACTTTCAGGGCGAAACTGTTACTTCTACCAGAGCTACAGATAAGAAACTTGCACTTGAAGATGTACAAGAAGACAGATGGATAAGCAACTTAAACAAAAGGCTATACATTTTACAAGCTTATTTGGTTCTCCACCCATACTTGAGTCGGTTGAAGTTCATCAGGAACTTGCAACATCTCTAAACGCGCTGCTATTATTGTGTTTGCAGCTTGGAGGGACCAGGTTCTGACAAGATTTTACTTTTGGAAGCTGCAAAGTTGTAAATTATGATGTTCAAAATGGCAATCGCTGCGGATTCTTTAACGAGCATAGTTGGGTTTTTGGTGTAAAGGATCTGCTTTAGTACCTAAAAAAGGAAAGTAGAATTGTTGTAGAGCAATGCTATATTGCATCTCAATGTGTTGGGGGTCCTTTTTTCTTTTTCTTTTTACTTGTCTGCAGTAACAGAAATTGGAAGTGACATGACGAATTTTCTTGCTCTACCATACAACGTGGAAGTGAAATTGCTTTATTGGTAGAAGCATAGCGCGTGATGTGTGAGTTCAGTAGTACATATTACAAGTTTGAACTTGTCGCAAGGAAAAGTCCGGTATCTATATGGAGAAGGTAAAGGGTTGATTCATTATTCATTGTGTTTCGAATTGTGCGGTTGTAGGGCCAGGGGTGTCAATGGTTCGGTTCAGCCGGTTATTTTATAAAATTGGTACCATACAAATTGTTCGGTTATTCTATTATGTATAACCAAAATTAGACTTTTTCGAAACCGTCCCGATTACGTTGGTTTCTCTTTGGTATCGGTACGGTTTGGTTAATTTTCGTTATTTTTTTAAATATCATATAAAATTCACTAGTAGAAGTAGAATGCAATAACATACGTTCTTTTATAGGACTTAGCAAAACTCTCTAGACATTTTTACTGTTTAAAGGGTGATGAATTAAAAAAAAAAAAAGATGGCTAGAGTATAGATCGATCAACTATTCTACAACAACGTAAAAGAAACCAAGCAAAGGCAAAGAAAATATAAATTCACACGAGTGAAAAGATATTAACTAAGGTGAGACTCAAGAATAAAGTCTATAGAAGATTAAATGTTCAAAAAGATAAATTTAAATTATATGAAAGGAAACATATTCAATACATTATAACTTGCTATTCATTATCGCTAGAATACTTTGTGTCTTGCTAATAAAGATACTTGAAAAAACTTAGTTGAAGTAGATGTAGCATAATAGGTTTTAGGAATTAATATTTTGAGTTTAATTAGTTGTTGGCTTGTAATAGTTTGCATAATTCCAAGGCCCAAAGAAAAATTTAATGCATTATTATTTTTAAACTTACTAGATAAATATATTTTTCACATGTAAAATTTATTCGGTACGGTTCGATATTTTTCGGTTTATTTTTATAAAATAAAAAAATTACTCTAATTATCGGTGATGTTATAAATTTATATAAAAACCTATAATTTCTTAAAAAGAAACTTAAAAATCGGTTCGGTACGATATAATTCGATCAGTTTAGTCGGTTTTCGAACATTCATTGACACTCATCGCCCTTAGAAAAGTTGTGTGCGCTAAAAGAAAAACAATAAACTTTACCTACTGTATTTGTGTTTTGGTTATACTTACAAAGGAGCATAAGTATCTGGAATTTCAATGTAAAGATCTGGAATTGCAATTATTAATGTTTTATTATTTTGTGGAAATAGCTTATGGTTCCAAAACTTTGGGCTATTATCTCAAAAGAAGACTAGTTTATGATGATCATTGGGACATTAGTAATTGTAACTCAAGTTATCATGACTTGGCGTGTACGTAAATGCAAAGTGCTGTACCCAACACATGTTCTCATTGTTCCTCGAAATAAATGATTGTGCCAATTATAATAGTACAGAAAAGTTATACTTTTGGAATTGGTTAAAAAATACCCTCTGTTAACTTCTATTTAGTTACCTGAGTCCCTACCAATACACTATAATTCAAAAATACCCTTATTTGCACGGCCTGTCAGGTGGCTTCACCAAATTAAAATAACCCAACTTCTTTCTATTACCCGGTTCGATTCAATATAACCCGGAACTCAACCCAAACACACACCTCTTGACTTCTGATGAGTTTATTTCTTTATATTTTGACTCATTTTGACTCCCCTTAATTATTTCTTTATATAATGACATCTACCTCTGCAAGTGCTTCCATGCACAACCTCCCTGTATCTGCTAAGCTACTTACTCAATGTAATATATATAATCCGTAGAATCTATACATATTGATAATATTAAAGGAACTTAACCAAGGAAACATAACTCAAGTATATATTAAGATTACAATGGTCATATTTTTTGCTGCTAAAACGGTTTAAGGGTTAAAATATTTGTTCAACCCGGGTTCCACTCACTTTACTCAAAATTACTTACTTTACACATATACACTCACATTATAAATAATTTTATACCATTTAATTCCTTTTACTCGTTGTTGTAAAAAAAATTGTCTTATGTTCAACATTACAAATCTCACTATTATAAAAGATTATTGGTAAATATTTTTGTAGTGACCTCATAATTATATCCCCCCTTATATTTATATTAGTTAAACCTAAAAGTACTTATTTTCAGTGTGATCAAATAATTACTAGTAGACAACTTCTTGCAAGGCAGAACATGACGTAGTCCAAATGATTCCTTCTTTGTTTATTTAAGAGATTATAAGTATATAAGTATATCCTATTGTATTTGGATAAAGGTCACAATTATTGGTGGTGAATAGGAGACTCAATCTCCATCTAGAGTGCAATTCTCAAGAAAAGAATATATAAAAATGATCCAACAAAAATATTTAAATGCCTAAAATAGGAAAGTAGTCAAAAGGATGTTAGGTTAAGGCTGCCAAGTGGGCCGGTCCAGGTCCGGGACCGCGGATCAAATGGACTAAATGGGCCAGAACCGTTAGGACTAGTTTTAGTGGGCCTGTGCCGATCTCGTGGGCCGATCCTATGCTTTGTGCCCGCCAGGACCGGGACCATTTAGCCCGCCAGAGCTTGGGCCCGGCTCGGGACCGGACCAGTCCCTTAGCGGGCCAAACGGTCCCAACGATCAACTTTTTTTAAAAAAAATAATAAAAATAAAATTAATTTTAAAATATAGCCGTTGGACTGTCAAAAATAGCCGTTAGCTATGTATAAAATAGCCATTTAACCCTCCCCCTCCCCCAAACTTTGTTTTAACCCTAAACCTTTTATAATTACACTTACAAAATCATCAATCTATCACAATCTCTCTCTAATTTTCTTCTATAATTGCTACTATTGCTTACTTTATTGTTACAATTTGTGAAACAATTGTGAAGTTGGTGAATTGAAATCTTCAACAATAATCAATTTTCAACAAGTTGTTCGTAAATTCACAGGCTGCCGTTGGGGACATTTTTCTTACAAAATCATCAATCTATCACAATCTCTCTCTAATTTTCTTCTATAATTGCTACTATTGCTTACTTTATTGTTACAATTTGTGAAACAATTGTGAAGTTGGTGAATTGAAATCTTCAACAATAATCAATTTTCAACAAGTTGTTCGTCAATTCACAGGCTGCCGTTGGGGACATTTTTCTTACAAAATCATCAATCTATCACAATCTCTCTTTAATTTTCTTCTATAATTACTACTATTGCTTACTTTATTATTACTAAGTGTATAATATATAAGCTATATTCGAATATATATATATATATATATATATACACACACACTTTTTAGTAGTAACATGAAAGGACCAAAGTCTGGTATTTTTTAGCTGGTATAAATATGGGATGATGAAAAATTAAGTTTTAGCTCAAGTCAGATTACAGTTTCAACTAATTTCCCACTTTTAGATATATTATCCTCTTTATCGGCTATCTACACCAGTAGCATAGCTAAATATAATGTCGCTTAAAATCACAACAGAGAATTTGGCAGCTGGTAACCCCATTAGCCGAATAAAAGATGTACAATCTTATATCGTATTATACTATATATAATATGTCTAATGGGGTCACCAACTGTCAAATTCTCTGCTGTGATTTTAAGCGACATTATATTTAGCTATGCTACTGGTGTAGCTAGCCGATAGAGAGGATAATATATCTAAGAGTGGAAAATT